CGAGTCTTGGTCTTGGCTCAGGCCGTGGTCTCATGGGTTGTGGGACGGAGCCCGCGTGGGGCTCGCTGCTCAGCGCAGAGCCGACTTCTCGCACACCCCTCCCCCAGCTTGTGCTCCCTCTCTCCCACGTAAATAAAATCTTCGGAAAGAAGCAGCCAATCTTTAAAAGGAAAAGAAGAGACTCACAGAAGCCGGAACACAGGCAGGTGGAGAGCAAGGGCTGCGCAGACCCCAAGCCTCCATCCCTGCTACACAGGAGCAGAGTGCTCCCCGCCCCACACCTGGGGTGCTCTCCCCGCCCTGCCCCCCAGAGCGCTCCCTGCCCCCGCAGCAGTGCTCCCCGCCCTACCGGGGTGCTCCCTGCCCCGCAGCAGAGTGCTCCCCACTCCACGCCCCCTCCCCGAGTGTTCCCCACCCCGCAGCAGAGTGCTCCTCACCCCACCCCTCGGGAGTGCTCCCCGCCCCTCCCCACCTGGGTGCTCCCCACCCCGCCCCTCTGGAGTGCTCTCCCCCACCCCCCGGGTGCTCCTCTCTGATCCATGTTGCCCTTGGCGTCTGCCTGGCCTCGGGCTCACTCTGCAGGCCCCCGCGGCTGTGCGATCCCTGAGAGCCCCTCGCGCGGGAGCTCCTACAATGAACGCTTTGATCCCAACCAGAACTTCCTGCCAACGGAAATAAACGACTTTCCTTCTCGGCTGACGTAGAATACATCCACTTTATTCCCGTTCGGGGGCTGAAGCTTTATAACCGAGCTGTAGCTTAACCAGCGAGGAGCACCCTGTCCTGCGGGAAGGGCTGTCCTTCGTGGTTCGGGAGAAAAGGCCGTTTCTCTGAGGTCTTTCCAGCCTCCGAGAGACGTGGGATAAGTGGGTCTCTCCCGAGCCCAGGGGAGCGAGCGGGCGCCCACCCTGGTGGTGGTGTTCTGTCACCCCCTTGCTGCTGGCTGCCCATGGAGACGCCCCGCTCTCGAGGACGAGCAGGGAGGGATGCAGCCCTGCCTTGGAGGGCTCGGGGCCTGGGACCAGCCTCTGAGATCAACTCCACCTGATGTGCTCCAGGTACCGGGGCGGGTGCTCCAACACTGCCCACCTGGTCGGGAGGGCCTATGCCACCCTGGCCTCACCCTCAGGGTAGGCTCCCGTGGGTGGACACTGGGGGTCCAGCAGGACCAGCTGGGCTCTCAGCCTGCCCGCAGCTCTGACCCGGGTCCTAGAGGGCAAGGTAGGGAGTGTCCGGGAGGAACCCTGTGACCTGACGCTGGCACAACCAGGAGTCACAGAGCCAGCGGGAGGGGTGCTCCAGATGCTTAACAGAAGCAGGTGCCAGACCGGGGAGTGGGGGGCCTTGAAGGAGGGGCTTCTCTGGCCAGGGCTCCCGGCCCAGAGGGACACTCGCCTGCAACCCCCGCCATGTGAGCACCCAGCTGGGAACCCCGGCAGCCCTGCCACATCTGGGCGCCGGCCCCCAACAGCCCCCCAGCCGTGCCCGCACACGGCCAACAGCCTGCCGCCCCAGGGCGCAGAGGCCCCCGACCACAGCGGCACCCGGAGGCTCCCCCTGCCGTACGCGTCTGAGATGCTCTCCCGTCCATGGAGGGCTGGGTGACAGTGCCCAGGTCCCTCCCACACCCCTGCGGCTGGCTCAGCAGAGCCGCTGTCCCCTCAGACGCGCGGGCCTCGGGCCGGGGGCCGCTCAGCCCTCACCCTGATGCCCTGAGCACAGGCCCCAAGCCCTCCCACTCCCAGGAGAGAGCAGCCTCCCTAGTCCAGGCCGGCCCAGGCCGAGCGCTCCAGGACTCGGGACACAGTGACCAGGCCCCGGGGAGCCCAAGGCAGCGGGTGTCCCGTCATGTCCTGCTGTCTCCATGCGGTGCCCCCGGCTCATCTGTGCACCCTCGAATCCCAGCTCAGGTGCCCCCCCGTGAAGCCCTCACCCGCCCCGCACGAGCCCCGAGCACCCGAGCCTGCTCTGGACGTGGAACAAGGCACCCGAGGCAGGGCAGCAAGACAGCCGGCCGCGAGCCGGTGGTCGGGCCTGACTTGGCCTGCTCGCGTCTACACCCGCCACCGACCTCGTGTGACTATAGCTCCAGGGCCATCGCCGCTTCCTGGCCTCGGGCACTCTGCTTTCAGATCACAGCCTGGAGCCCCAGCCCCTGGCCGTGTCCAGTCCACCGCCACGACTCTGCAAGGCCCTCTTCTCTGAGGGACCGAGCATCCAATCTGGGGGGAGTCCCAGGGTGGCCCCAAGGGGACCCCCCTCCCCGGCCGCGGTGTCCACGGGGATCCCATCTGACTCTGAAGGAACCAAAGTGCCCCCGGGTCACCCCACAAAGAACCCAGCCCTGAGGGCAGACCCTCCAGGTCCGCTCCGGGGGCCCGGGACGGGGGGGGGGGGCGGGGCGGGGCGGGTCTGGGCAGATCCTGCCCCGGCAGGCAAAGGAGCCCGGGGCCGTGTGCGCCCCGTCCTGTGGTCCTGCCTACCCGCTGCAGGGAGGCCACCAGTCGGGCCGCCCCTCATCCCACTGCTCAGTCCCTGGGGCCAAGGACAGCCCCCTCCCGGCGGGCAGGCCCCTCCTGGCCGCCGGGCCCTGCCCTCCCTCTCCCCCCGGGCAGCCCCGTCACCACTGCCACACCGGCCAGCGCCCCCTCCCCTTCCTGCCAGTAGCGGGTGCCTCGCGGCCCCAGACAGACTGTGGAGGACAGAGCCCTCGCCGAGGGCCACACAGCGGCGGCGGCGCCAGCAGCCCCCCAGCCAGGCTGGGCTTCAGCGCGGCTGCACGCAGGGACGTGGGGAAGGCCCGGGTCTTCGGGGACGCCACCGCCGTCCCATCTGCAGCCGAGCTCCTGGCCCAGCAGCCCCTGAATTTCGGGCTGGCGCTGAGTTCATCACCCCCGAGCCTCAGGGTGGACCCGGCCCTACAGAAACAGCCACGCCCGGGGCCTGTGGGCGCCCCGCTGCTCTGCCTCTGGACACGGCCTGTGCAGCCTGGAGCCGCCGCTGCCACCAGGTCGCCCCCGAAGGCTCCTCCACGAGACACGCGGTCAGGACCGCACAGCAGCCCGGCCGGCCGGGGACGGTCTCCCACGGCCACGGCCCCGGGAGGCTGCGTCCAGGCCCTCGACCCCGCCGCCCCTCCTGCCGCTGGCCTCCCTCCGCGCGGCGGCGTGGCCTCTGGGCGTCCAGCCCTGACTCTGTCTCTCGGTTTGTTTCTGATACTTCTGTCTGTCCATCTGTGTCTCTCGCCCTTGGGTTCATCCGTCTTGATCTCAGGCCCCCCATCGCCCGCAGGTCCCCAGGCAGCCTGTGCCCCCCTGTCCCCCGCTGACCTGCCGCCCGCCTGCTCTCTGTGTCTCGGGTCCACCTCTCTGAGTGGCCTCCCGGCACCATCCCTCTGGGTCCGGGTCCGTCCCTGTCGGTCTGTCTGCACGCACTCATCCTGAGAGGCCAAATGATGCTCGTCCAGGGGGAAATAAAATACAAGGTCTCACCGGGGAAACCCGCACGCAGCCCCCAACCCCAGCAGGGGGTGACAAGTGTTGGGGGCGGCACCTGGCTGGGCCACCCCGTGACGGCTGCAGACAGGGCGCTCCAAGGTGCCTCTGCCCCCCTGCAGCTCCCACGTGTCCCCGTCGCCGCCGCAGGAGAAACTTTGGGCTGACATGGAACAAAGGGAATCTAGGCAGGCAATTACCCAGCTAATTTCAGCCATGTAGACAGCCAAATCAGATATTTCAGGTTCCTCACAAACCCACCTCAGGGCCTGAATTAGCCACCTAATTAATTATCTGTAACAGCCTGGGACTGGCTGGGTGGAACGCCGACTGCTCCCAGAGCCAGGATGCTCGTCCCTGAATCATGTCCTGGTGACGTAATCATTATAATTAGACTCAACCTGCAGCCTAGCCTTGACCACAAAATCTCCGGGAACGTGGCCCCAGGCCAGCCCCCGGTGTCTTTCCACTTAACTCACAGCAGCAGAAATGTGGCACTTCCGACAGGGACAAGCCCACCCCTGGGGCCCCGGTCCTGGGCTTGGTGGCCCTGCCATCCTGCCCCCCACCAGTGGTGCAGCAGCCCCCCACCTCCAGAAGCAAGGCCCCGACCCCTCCTGCCGCTGCAGCAGCGCCACGAGGTGCAGCGCCTGACTCACGCCAGGCTGCGAAGGTGACCTGGTCAGGGTGTGGCCCACAGAGGCCACCACGGGAAAACACCCGGGACGGCGGTCAGGTGCTGCTGCAGGCAGCCGCGGGGAGCCGATGCAGCAGCCGGGAGCGCTGGGGCACACGGGATGGCCGGCGGGCCCCACGGCTCCAGCGCTATGCACCCAGGCCGGTGGGGACCTCAGTCCGTCGCCCTGCCCGCCTCCTGGGCCAGGGTCTCTGGCCACGACACTGTCCTTTTGAACCAAACAAGCACAGGATTCCCTTCAGATACGAGCCAGCGGGGTTCGACGGGCGGTCCCCCCACGCCCGCTCACGCCAGCACACACACCGCTGCACCACCTCTGTGGAAGGGGGCCGGGGATGCACGGCCACCGTGGCATCTTCTCGTGCCCCTAGGTCCCACCGGCCCTGGCTCGCTGTGCCCGCTGCTGCCGCCACCCCAGGTGAGCCCACTGCCCCAGCTCTGGTGGCCTCCCGCCTCCCCTGCTGTAGCCACTCTACAGCTTCCCCAGGCTCTGCTCCCCAAGAGCAAAGCCCCCATGGGGCCCAGCAGACCCTGCCAGTTGCACTTGGCCCTTGGCGCCCCTGGCACGCACCCTAGGCTATCCTCCCAGAGGGGAGGGTGCTGCCGCTTAACCACCGACCCCAGCCTTGGCGCGGCCTGGATGGCTCTGCCCCGACCACAGTGTGCCAGGCTGCGTCCTCCCCCGCCCCGGGGCTCCGTCCTGAGGGGGCCGGTGGGCAAGTGAAGCCTGAGGGGGGCCGTGTAGGGAGTGTGCCCCACGAGGTGTGTGGCCAGTGACCCCCTGGGAACATGATGCCCCTACTCCCTACCTCCCAGGGCCTGTTTCATCACGAACTCCATGACGATGGCTTTGATTCCTCAGCGGCTCCTCCAAGGGTCAGAACTCACATGCAAGTGTGGCCAGGAGTTCTCTGCTGGGGGAGAGGAAGTGGTCACAGGTCACCCTGAGCAGGCCGGGGTGAGGGTGGCTTCCTCATCTGTACCTGCTGGCCCCTGAGCACGGGTCTGTGGTCTGAGGATGGCCTCACAGGTCAGGTCTGCACCGAAGGGCTGGAGCCGACGCTGACAGGGACACCGGGGGCTGGGGCTTCCACCCCACACCCTGACCCGGGCACGTAGATCCCAAGACCTGCTCCACCTACAAAGTGGTCTCACCTGGTCCCTGGTTTTCTGAAACCAGCTTATGGTGGCTACTGCGGGGATGGGGATGTGGCGCAGAGCCCGGGAGAGCACAGCTCCCAGGAGCCAGGCTGCCTGAAGCCCGGTCGGGCCCAAGGGGTGTTTGAAGGTGACTGGCTCTTCCGACTCCTTGCTGGGCCCTGGGCCACAGGGGTGGGGGGTCAGGGGGGTCACCTAAGGGACAGCAGGACTACAGAGGGGTGGGGCCCGGCCGGATGCCCCTTCAGGGAGCTCCCCTCGGCTTCTGACAGGAGTCCCGGGAGACCAGGCTGTACCCAGGGGAAGTTCCTGTGCCCACTGCCACCAGCACGGTGGAGACCGGGGTGGGAGACCCCGTGGGAGGGCCGGCCGCCACCTGCGTCTGCTGCCCCCCACCTGCGCCTGCCGGGCCTCCAGGGTCCAGGTCGCTGAACTCTGGTGCGGAGGCGCTGCCTAAACCAGGGGCTGCAATGCTCCCCCCTCCCCGCTTGTGGGGCCTCTGGGGCAGGGCAGCCCGGGGCTGAGATCCAGAGCTTTCCGGTGTTCTCCTCCCAGGAGACCCGCGCTCGTGCTCGTGCGGCCTGGGGGGGACGGAGGGGGGAGTGCTGGGTGGGGGGGCGCCTCCCCGCAGGGCGCTGGCGCACAGGGCGCCCTTGCCGCAAAGCAGATTCTCTTCCGAACTTCTGCCCTGGCTCCTGAGGGGTGGGGAAGCCGGGGCCCAGCCGCAGCCAGGCTCGGGGCGCCGCGGGAGTCCCCCAGGCTTGGGCCGCTCCCGCTGCCGCCGCACCCCTTGGCTTTGCGCGCGGGCGAGGTGCCCTGCGGCCCTGGGGCGGGGGCGCGGGGGGGGCGGGGAGGGGCAGGGGCGGGAGGGCAGGAGCCCCGACCGCAGCGGGAGCGAGGAAGAGGCAGCGCGGGGCCGCTTCAGCACCGAGTCCGCGGACAGCGCCCGCCCGGGGCCGGGGTGCGGGCGGGGCGGCGGGGCGGCGGGGGGGGGTAGGGGGGCGCTGGGGGGCGCTGGGGGCCCTCCCGGGGGGCCGGGGGCGGCGCGCGGGAGCAGGGGGGAGCTGGGGGGAGCTGGGGGCCCTCCCGGGGCCGGGGCCGGGGCGGGGCGGGGCGGGGCGCGGGCGGGCGGCGGGGGCAGCCGGGGGGCCTTGCCGGGCGGCCTTGCCGGGCGGCCGGCGTGCGGGAGCGGGGGGAGCGCGGTTACCTTCCCGGGCCGGGGCGCGGCGGCGGGCGTGCGGTCAGCGGCGGGGCGCGCTCGGGCCGGCCGGGTCCATGTGGCGCCGGGAATGCGGCGGCGGCTGAAGGGCACGGCGAGGAGGGCGCGTCACGTGGAGGCGCACCCCCCCCCCGCCCGCGTCCGGGCGTCACGACGGGGCGGGGCCAGCGGGGCGCGGGGCGGGGCCACGGAGCCGCGCCCCCGCCCGCCCCGCCCGCCCCGGAGGCCCCGTCCGCTCCGCCCGGCGCCGGGAAGGGGCTCCCGCCGCGCCCACGGGGTCCCGACCCGGGCGAGGCCCCTGCGCGGCCCCGCGACCCCGCGCCGCTCCCCGGCCCCGGCGCCCCAGGGCGGGACGGGGGCGCCCCCGACTCCGGGCCCCCACGCGCCCCGCGGAGGGAGCCGCCCGCCGCCGCCGTATTTCTCAGAGCAGGAGCGCGCGACGCGGACGGCTCCGCGGGTCTGGGGGCGGGGCCGGCGGGGCCGGGGGCGGGGCCGGCGGGGCGTGGGCGGGGCCGGGGCGGGGCCGGGGGCGGGGCCGGGGGCGGGGCCGGGGCGGGGCGGCGGCCCCCGCGGGGCAGGGACGCCTGAAGGTCGCTGCGGACGCTCCGCCCCGCCGCCCCGCCCCCGCCGCCCCCTCCCCCGGCCTCCGGGATTTCCCCGCCGCCCAGCCGCACTGCGGGGAGCGCAGGGTCGCCGCAAGGTCGGAGGCTAAGCGGCCGGAGCCGCCCCCGCCGGCCGCGCCCGGGCCCGGGACGCACCTCCCAGGACACACTGGCTGCAGCCTCCCTGGATCCCAGGCCCCGGCTCCGGCCCCCACATCCTCGCTTGTCCTGCTGACGGGTCCTGCCCCGCAGATCTGGGCCAGCGGGTGAGGGAGGTGCTGCCCAAAGGGGAGCCGAGGGCTGCACGGAGCCCCTGCGCTGCCTGCCCGGCTGACCCCCGTGGTCCCATTGCATCACTGCCCCTTCTCCAGATACCGGTTAGAGCCCCTGCCTCACGCGGGTCTGGGGACAGGTGTTCTGTGCTCAGCTGTTCCAGGTGTGCGAGGGCCCTGGGGGTCTGCTCAGCCTTGGCCCTTCCGGTGCCCCCCAACCTGGGTGTGGATGCCGGAGGGAGCGGTCCGCCCAGGAAGCAGAGAAGTCGCTGCTCCCCGCTCCAGGCTCTCCCCTCCGCCCCTGCCACCAAATGGGCCTGGGGATGCAACGCACGGAGCGGTGACCTCAGCTGAGTCCAGAGCAGACCCCATGACCCACGACCCCAGGACCTTCATGAGCCACCTGCAGGGCAACACCCGGATGACCTGAGGGCAGTGTCAGGGCGGCGCAGGCTCATAGGAGGGAGGAGCACAGAGGACCCCACAGCCCCACTGACTCCACAGTCTGGGGCTGGCTGAGCGCCACACACAGAGCCCTGAGCCTGGGGTCCCGGGGAGGCTGCCCAGCTGCCCAGCCCCCAAACCCCCCCCATCCCTGTGTGGGGTCACCGTCTCTGGCCCTGTTGTTGCCTGTCCTGCACTCTCACATGTCTCACAGGTGCCCAGGCCCCGACCAGGTCTCCGACTGTCCCAGTGGAAACAGACAAGGCCAGTGACAGTCCCGGATCAGAGTGGTGCCCTGCACCAGGACAGGGAGGCCGGGCAGCTGGGCAGCCCAGGGATGGCCAGCTCCGGGCAGGTGGCCAGGACGTGAGGTGACGCAGCTGCGCACCACCCACCTGCAGGGTCTGCCCCTGTGGACGGGGTGGGGGGTGGGGGTTGGGGGGGGCAATGCTGCCTTGGTAGTTGTGTTGCCATCAGGGCCTGGAAGACCTGCAGCGGCCACAGGGAGGCGGGAGCGAGTAACTGCGGGAGACCTGGCTGTGAGTTCAGAGGCACCCGGAGGAGGCCACAGTCCCAGGGTGGGTCCTGGGTCGGGGTACAGAGAAGGGTTCCAGGAATCAGAAGGGAGGAGCCACGCAGCGTGCCGGGCATGGGGGGCGCCCTGGCTGGGCCCTCCAGGCCAGGAACCCGGATCCAAGGCACAAAGACCATATGATGCTGGGTTGCAGGCCCCCCGGTGTCCAGAGTCCCCTCTGCGCCCCCACGCAGTCCTGCAGATGGCAGAGGCCTCTGAGATCAGCCTCCCGGAGGCCCCTCCCGGAGGCCCCTCCCGGGCTCCCCTTTGCTCCCTCCAGGGAGGCCCGGCCCCTGCCAGTCCCATCTGGCCCCCGCGCCGCAGGGCACCTCCTGCTCTGGCTCCCACAGGCCTTTGGCGTTGGGGTGGGGACTGCCAGGGGCACGGACCCCCGGGGGGGCTGGGACGGGCTTCAGTGCACCGGGGATTGCCCCGAAACTTCAAATGCAAACGGATGCTGGGGTCCCCCTGCTGTTGGACCCCGTGAGGCCTTGGGAGGTCGTGGCAGGAGTCACCAAGGCGAAGTGGGACGGCGGTTGTCGCTCATCAGGGCCTCGCGTGCCTCCCTCCCGACACCACGGCCCCTTCCCGGCCTCCCTGGGCCGCGCTGGCCGTGGGGCAGCCGCTGGGAGCTCGTCCCTGGGGCTCCGAGAGCCGGGCGGGCGGTGCTGCGCTGCTCAAACCCGGCCCCACCCCATGTGCTGGGCCACACTGTGCCCCGCCGGGGTCTGGCGATGACATGCACTTTCCACGGGTGCCCTGCCCCCACCGACAGGGGACCCCGTGTCTCACAGTCAGCAGGAGGGCGGCCCCCACGACAGGAACGTCCAGGCTGGGACATCTCTAGGCCTCGGGGGGCATCTGGTCGCGTCCCCCAGTTTGGGGGTGACTTCCACACAGGTGCCCGCCGGGGACGCTGGGCTCCGCTCTCTGACCAGTGGCCCCTCCCTGGAACCCGTCACATGACCACGTGACCCCCACCAGGCTGCAGACCCCCGTCCTGGCTCCGCAAATGGCCGCCCAGGATGTGTTGCCCCCCGTCCCAGTCACTCTGTGCCCCAGAGGCCCCCTCCGCCCTCCAGCAAGCCCAGCGGGCCCCTGTAACAGGTCCGGCTCCGCACCACACCCTGCAGCCCCTCCCGAGGCCGGGCTCAGCCCCTGGACTCCACCAGGCGCGTGACCTCCACGGGCGGGACTGCCCCCTGGGGCCTCTCGGCTGCCCTGGCACTGCCCCCGCCTGGCCGGGCTCTGTGCCCTCCCCCAGTTCACAGCCTTTCCCCAGCTGAGCCGAGAGGCCCCCAGCCCAGCCCCCCGCATCACGGTGGGCGGCCGGACTAGGCCCCACACTGCACGCGCCGTGTCCCCCCGCCTGGCCCCTTCTGCACCTGCCCTGTCGTCACCCCCCGCCCCTCCTCTCCAGCTCCCGGGCAGGGGCGCGGCGCCCGGCAGGCCAGAGGCCGGGTGGCGGCCACGCAATGCGCCTGGACAGAGCCGGCCAGGGGCCTGGTGTGGGTGGGGATGTGCTGCCTGGCCGCTGTGACCTGTGGGGACGTGTGCGTCCTCAGCTTGAGGGACAGGGCGCAGCCTGTTCCCCTGGGGCAGCCGGGGTGGGGGGCGGCGTGGGGCCCGGCCAGGGTTTGCTGCCAGGGAGGACGGCCTGTAGAGCCTGCATAGGGACAGTTGGCATTTCCTGCCCGAGGGTGGGGCCCCTGCAGCTCTGGCTCCTGGCAGGTGAGCCTGGAGCTGGGATGTGGGGCTCGCAGGGGTGCCCGGGGACGGGGGACGAGGAGGGGATGGGGCAGACGCTGACCTCAGCCCTTGTGGACTGTCACCCATCGGCTGATCCCCACCCGGATCCTGTGCCCTCAACACTCCAGGGGCCCCTCGCCAGCACAGTGACTCCCGGGCAGACGGCGCGGGGGTCAGGCCCACCTGGACACGGGGGTGAGCGCTGCTCCTGGCCGCGGGGCCGGGCGGAACCGGGGCTGGGGGCACAGCTCGGGATCGGGCCGGAGCCCGCCTGCAGAGCCCCCTGCGGGCAAGGACGCCGACAGCCCAGGCAGACGGTCCAGCTGAGGCTGAAGGGGGGCGGGGCCACCCTGGGGACAGAGGCGGGTGGGGGGGCACAGCTGGGTGGGGGCTTTCAGCTGAGTCTGTGGCCCCCGGCCTCCGCTGCCCCAAGGCCTCCTGCTGTCCCGGGGCAGCGACACCGACCCGCAGCCTGGGGCCCGGGCAGCCCTCCGTGCGGCCCTCACGCGGCGGCCAGCAAGGCGAGCGCTGAGCGAGGGGGCGGCGCAGGATGGTGAGCGGCGTGCACCTGGCAAGAAGCCCGGGCCCAGACCTGCGGGGCATACGGGGCCGCGGGGAGGCTGGTGCCCCTCCGGCGCTGGCACAGCGCTCCAGCGGTCACAGCCAAAGACCTGAACACGGGGTAGGGCAGGAATGCGGGCGCGTCCCGGGCAGGGGCCCTCGCGGTGGCCACCGAGGCAGGCAGCCCGACTCCCGATGCTGCCGTTGGTCCCGACAATGGCCTCATGGGTCCTAACCATTCGCGGACAGTGCGGATCAGCCTCGGAGACAGCCGTGGGCTTGGGGTGGGCGGCAGGACTCCCCCCCCCCCCCCGAGCCAGCGTCCCACCCGGCGCCGCCGTGCTCCGCCCCGAGCCGCGCGAGGAACAGCGCGCTCCGTGGCCAGTTGAGAAGCCCACCTGCGGCTCCCGCGCAGCTGGAGCTGGGCTGTGGCCACGCGTCGGGCCACCTCGGGGGTCCCCGCCCTGCCCGTCCAGCATGAGTGGGCAGGCCAGGTGCCAGGCAGCAGGATTTCCTCCCCGTCCAGGCCTCCCTCATGCCCCGGGGGGGCGCGTCCAGCCTCGGGTAAGAGCCTGTGTCCCTCTATGTGCCCTGCCCCCCTGGCGTCGGGGGCGACCCGACAGGCTGCAGGCAATGGGGTGGGGGCCCTGGGGGCACGGGGATGAGGGCAGAGCCAGGGGCAGGCGGGAACCCCCAGCCCCGCGGCGCTGGTGCCCCGTAATCGTTCACTGTACTCGCACGTATTTCCCGCAACGAGCACCTGCCAGGAATCAGGCGGGAACAGAACCGAAGGCGGGTTGTTTTAAGGATTTTATTCTTTTAAAAGTCATTTCCACACCCGAGTGGGGCTTGAGCTCACAGCCCTGAGATCAAGCGCCCCGGCCTCCGCCCGAGCCAGCCGGGCCGCGAGGCTGCTTCGTG